GGATAGCTATAGCACTCCCAATAACCTCTTGAATGTCAGCTCCAATGAGCGCCAATTCCGCCATGAACCATAGAACAAAACGAGCCCAAGTCGGATACTCCTCCCGGCAGAGCTCCGCTAGATGCTTGCCAGTAGCCACCCCGAGCCGAGCTGATAACAACTGGATCAGAAGGCCCATGACGGTAGCCCACATCAACAACCAAAGCAGAGAGTAACCCGCAATCGCCCCAGCCTGTAGATCACCTTCCAAGTTCCCCGGATCTAGAAACGCTATACTCATTAAAAAACCCGGTCCTGTAAACATCCATAGCTTCTTCCAGGAAAAAGGAGGGACATAATCGACGTTTCCGATGGATTCCGGCGTTTCCAAGTCAACGATGACGATTTTCTCTCGGGATTCGAACGCGACCTCGTTTTCATCATCGGACGAGGAGGAGGAAGGAGGTGGGGATGGTAAGAGGCTTTTGGATTCGGATTCCTCCGTAGCGTCTTTGTCCTTGTCCGGTTCTTCTTTTAAGGACTCGTCCTCTCGGGTTGGGTAATTCATCGTCGGAGGTGAATTCTGTTTGCTGGTTTAGCTGCCGCCGGCACTGTTCTGTTCAAGTGGTGGAGTAGAGCTTTACCGTAGAATGTGGTAAGGTGTTGAAACTTATATCGTGATAAATTAAATTAAACAGTTTACTCTATTCAAGCCACTGAAGCCAGCTACGACCGTCTCGTATTTGATCAGGTATATTGTAATATTTATATTAGATGTCGTTTTTGCTAAATTTTCATGTAAATTTTAATTATTTCTTACAATTCGTTGGATACTTTAGATAAAAATATTATGTTATAAAAATAAAGACAGAAATAATACTTCAATAAATTAAATTGGTGAGTTTGTACATGATATTCTTTTTCGAGGTTATAGGTCATCGTGTATGATTTGTTAGATCATAGTGTAATTATTGATGAGATCAAATGGATTGTGATGGTGATAGATTATTTATTTTTTTAATTTAAATGGAGAGTCTTAATTGATGATAGATCGATCTTTGGTCGGTGTTAAAATATTTTTTCTTCATAAGAAGTTAGAAAATAGATAAATGAGTGTGATGTGGTTTTATATAGGTTGCATTATTTCTCTTAGTCTTAATTGAGAGGTTTTATAATGACTCTTAGTGATGGTGTCAGGTTATTATGACTACCTTTCGACTGGCATGCTAGGTGGATATGGTCAACTAACAATAGATTTAGTTTTGGTAGATCACGTTGTTAGAGGTTATGTTAATAAATCACAACTTTTCGATATTAGATCTTTGAGATTCTTTTTTTAAGACGTTAACTCAATGTCTACTGGAGACGTTATACTTATTTTTCTAGAATCCTCGAAGTTTTTTCTCTAGAGATATTCTTTTAGGATCCTACCTATGGAAAAGTTCCTTCTCGGAAGCTTTAAGTCGCATGGGTGGTGATGATACATGGCAGATGTTCGGCGGAGGTACAATATTTATCCCTTCTTGATTAAGGGAATGTCATAAAGTGACTTGACACAAGACTTAATCGTTGAAGCGTTATAAGCATTTAATGGATCGTTTCCAGGAATCATCGCAATTATTATTTCTTGAACTTATCGGGGAACTTAAATATGCGACGCCTTATGTTTAGTGCGGTTGAATGACGTATCGTTTCAATCGATGAGGAAATTTCATTTCACCCAGTTATATAAAGAGGATTTGATCTCGAATCTTCTCGTTTCTATCTTTGCTTTCGTGTCGCTATTTTCTTTTAGTGGGACTGTTTCTGATTTAGATTTGAGTTTATTTTTGTGATGATAAAGAAGAGTATTACGAAGGTTTTGAAGAAAAATGAGGAAAAAGTAGAGGTAGATCACTGACGATTGACAGGTTACGATACTTTCTGATGCACAACTCGTCGACTTGAGGTCAATAATATGTTGTTAAGTCAGGGTGTGTTGTGGGAGAATTATAAGTTTGAATTTAGTATTCCTTCTGGTTCGCATTGTATAAGTGACTATGGAGACGGTGACGATGGGAACCTGCATAGTTTTAGCTCTCACTTTTTGTTTTAGAGGCTTAGTTCTTATCTTCCTAGGTATTGGATTATATGGGATAACACCAGATCAATTGGCAAAGCTTCTTGGTGGATTCTCATTGGTTATTTTATTTTTTTATCGGGAAAGGGAATGGGTCCTTTCGATGGATGTGTTGTGTAATTTTTTCTCCCTTACTGGTGTCACTCAACAAAGGTTGTGCATGCTTTTATGTTTTACAAAGAAGCATGAGAAGTCTTTCAAAATTGGGGTGTATATCGCTGGTTGGATTAGCGTGTGAGGTCTGAATTTGGATCGCTCAATGTTCATTAGGGTGGTTTAAAAGTTACTTGGAGGGTTTAAATTTCCCTTCCGGTAGAGTATACATGGTGAATGGACGAGGGACTCTATTTCAATTTTGGGAAAGAAGGAACGAGAACAAATTATTGTTCTAAAGAAAGACGAGTGGTCAGACATTCTTGAGGTAATCTGCGGCCACAATGTTTTTAGATATTGACTCGGGAAAAATAGTTCTAATGAGTTTAGGAGAGATAGTGATATGTTTGGTGTGAAGTATACTATGGGAGTTAAGGATATCAAAGATGCATGGTCCTATGGGGAAATGGATAAGCTAGTGCAAATTTTATTGGGGACGTAAGAGGAAGACAGAGATCCATTACTCTTCTTTCATTTTCCTTTGAGACCTTGTTATGACAAAGATGTTTCTACGCTCACAATAACAACAGAAAAATTATGTTGCCGAGCAGAGGCATCCTAATACTTCTAGGAGAAACGTATAGTTATGACAGCTAGAATGTGAGAACTCTCTCTTGGTATGAGTTTTATAGAGATATCTCAGTACTTTCTGATAGAGGCTTTTCTACACCCTGTCAAATGGCAATGGAATAAGAGTATCTTTGTATTTTTTCTAATTGAATTAAGACTCGATTAATCAGTCACACTAACGCAACCAAACACTATATAATATAGATATATGCACTATTTCATATTCTTTTCGTCAATTATTTAAATGAAAATATATCAACATCATCAGTTAAGTATTAATTTAGTAGATATTAATACTGATCCAACGTTCATGGAATTATAATTCAAATGTACATAAATATGATTATCTTCGATTTAAAGATTAAGGTTATGAAATGTTTAGACACTATAATTTTTAGTTTAATATATATAGTTCAGAATTTTAAATATGAAAATAATTTATATTTTATTCTTATATTATTTGAGTAATTGATTTTCTAAAGTGGGAAGAAAAAGGCTTGTGGAAACCGTATGAAATGGCGGATGCTATAGCGATCCAAAGGCGTAGCTTTCCTAGGCCGGGTCGGGTCAATATTTTCTTTCAAATTTAATTTTATTTGATTTGAATTGAATTTAAGTTACTTCTAAAGTTTATTTTACTAATGTTGAAATAATAAAAATATAAAAATAATATTTTTTAAAAATATTATAATTATGTTTTAAAAAATTATAAATTTTATTACTACATTTTAGTTTTGATTATGTGGATCTGAAATTATTTTAATCAAAGTTAGATCTGAACATGCAATTCAACTCTTATATAGATATTCTGATTACAAAAATGCACGGCATATGTTATTATTGAGTTTGTTGCATTATAAGGTACATTATATTTTGAAAAATAATATTTAATTCTGAATTTAAATATTATTAAAAACCGACTACCAACTTAAAACATGTATTAAAAACTAAAAAAAAATACGAAAAATATAAAAAAGTATATTTGTTTATTTTACTTGTTAATAAACCATATAGTCATATCTATTATATTTCAAGAAATGAAAATTCATGTTGCCTTTTCATGTAAAGTGGTACAGTCATTAATCGACTTTACTTTGTAAAAAAGGGAAGCGCTCCATTATTGCTCACTTTACAGTCCAGTACGGTGGCATCGGCATCTCAAACCACAGCCACAACGTAGGAAGCAAATGCTTTTCATTGACCTTTTTCAATGCTGTGATTGATTCCCCATTTTCTTAATTGGATTATATTTTGAATTATCTAAGCGTTAAGTTGAGTTGCATCTAATAATTTCTTTTTGAATTATTCGGTCTAGTTTGAAACTATAGTAAAATAATTATGTACATGTTAAATGAAAATTTTAAGTTGACGAGTTTTATTTTATAATTTAAATTTGATTTGAACTTTTTTTGAGTCTAATTTATAAAATTCGAATCGAATCAGCTTGTTCGAGTTTATGATAAAATTTAATTGTATATATTTATAATAGGGTAAATTGCATAATTGATCACTATCGATTAAACTTTGTATATTTTTCCTCATTGAATTTGAAAATTATAATATTTGGTCACTTTCATGTTTATTTAATTAAGATGTGGTCACTAAAGGTTAACTGTCGTTAGACTTTTAATAGGTTGTTGACGTGAAAAAGTGAATATATAAAATTAAAAATAATAAACTACACAAATGGCCACCAATATATGAACAAAATTTTGTTTTTACAATTTTTTTAAAAAAATAACAAATTCATCAAAAATATTTTATGTAGATGTCTAGGATGATTCCAATGACATAAACCCTGTTGGTTGATGCAGTCACCCACTAACAATAATATTTGGCTCCTGTTTTCGCCTTTGGTAAGGTAAGTAATGTTTTTGTCAGCTTCAAAATTTATTGATTTCAGCGTTTTGTACCACACAATTCCTTCATTTATTTATATGCATGTTACCTTAAGCAAGCAACTACATAATATGTTTAGCGGCAATTTGGTGGCTGGTGGCCTTTGTAGTTTCTTAATTCTTACTTGACAGAACCATCAAAGCACGATCATTTATTAATTAATTTATTATTATTATTAGTGTAAAGTACAACTAAAGGTCAATAAACTACATAAAGATATCTTTTTAATTTCGGTGCTTATTTCTTACTTGTGCGCCAGTCACATGCGTACAGGTAGTGGAAACCAGGCGGCAAGCTCATCCTACACCTTTCAAGAGCTACCAAATTCGTCCCCTTACTATTTTGGGGAGCTTTTGGGTATGCGTTGAATTATATGAATTTGGGTTTCGTATCGATTGGGATCGTTCTCGTACATATACTGCAAAAGGATTTTTGACCAATTTATTTCTTTTAAAACTTTCGTGGGTAAAACTAAAATTTACTAAAATATTATTGGCTATTTGTGTAGTTTACCTTTTTTAAGTTAATATAATCACTTTGCCACGTTAGCAATTAGTTAAAAGTTTAACGAAAGTTAACCTTCAATGACCGCATCTTAATTAAATAAAAACGAAAGTGACTAAATATTAAATTTTTTTAAATTGAACAAGGAAAAGTGTACAAACCTAAACGAAAGTGGTCAATCTTGTAGTTTACTCTTTATAATATTATGATACTATTTGATTACAATTTAAATGGTTTTATATAACCATATACAATACATATATATTTCTTCATATTTTTTCATATGTAATATGCATATATCATACAGAGTCGAGAGACTCGACTAAAACTTAAAAACCAATCCACTAATCACTAAAAAATTTGAGTTATTTGAGTTTTATTTTATAACTCGATTTGAATTTAAATTTTTTAATCGAGTTCAGCTTATGAAATTACAACTAGAAGTCCATTCAAATCATTTTTTTCCGAATATAGTCGAGTCAAAAAGATTAATTTTTTGAGTTCACTCAATTTTACTCATCCCTAATGACAACTTAAAACCCTAAGAAAAACGTGCTTATTTAAAATTAAATAATGGTCCAAGCAAAATCCAATAACTCGACAAAAATAAAAGTTGGTTTTACTCTATCAATTGATAATGTACAATACATCTTGTAGACACAATTGGTTTAAACTCATATTTCTAAAAAGATCATCGTTCTCTTCTATTATGGAGTCATTTGATAGATTCAGGATGATTTATTTACTTGATTGAATTGAAATTATTAATATCAATATAATTATTTGGACCGTTAGAAATAACTTCGCTTGTATTTTAAATAATTCGTATTTAAGGAGAGCGGAAGAAAATTTTTATTCATGATAAATATTAAACTCATGAGAAATATTACTTGAAACTATTAATCACATACTTTAAAGATTGTTGACTCTGTTAAAAATGTATTTTAATAAGCGAACTTTTCATAGGGCATTTATGTTTTTGGTGATGTATTTGATGATATAACGGGCTTTGGGTCGAGTAAAGTGCTACTTTACTAAACTAAGATCAAATATTGGGGTCATCCAATAGCCAAAACTTGATGGTTTATACTACCACTATTATAATTTGATATAATTATTTTTTGGGTCATAACTTATAATAATTTTATTTACATACTCCTTCCATAATTGGAGAAATTCAATCATGCAACATTTTCATTTTCATCTCCTTTATGTAGTATTAGTTATATATTGGAACGGACATAAAATTTTATATAAGGGCTAAACTTTTAAAATTTTAGGAGATTATGAATTTATAAAATTCTAAGGAGAAAAAATAGATTATCAATAAAAATAAAAAAAATTAAAATATATGATAATTTAAAATTTCTAAGAGTATGACTGCCGTCCCCTAAATATAATATTTGTCAAAATATAATAAAGTAGGTGATTTGATCTAGTTGCTAAGCAGCTATTTACTCAACTTATATGCTTGACTTTGATTCTCTCTCAATTTAATTTTTTAAAAATAATTTGGATATATTTAGAAAATAATCAGATGATGCTAGGTGTCTAAAGTTAACTATAACAAATCTCATTGATTCGAAGATCGCTAAACATGGTTGGAGCAGCAGCCATAACAAATCCAATTGGAAAACGAAGAATGAAAGGAAACAAAGGAAAGGCGTTGACAAAGGCGAGTGATTTTGAATTTTTAATATTTAGACTTCAAAGTGCCCAACTGTGTGGAGTAGAGGCCAAAGTTGATTCTAATGGGAAAACAAGTCACTCCAGCCCGTCATTCACGCCACTACTTGACTTTCAAGCGTACAACTGTGTGACCAAATCTTGTTCTTAGGGCTCAAGTACAGCAGCGTTTCTTACAGGGAACTCAGATATGAGTAATTATATTTGATTTTTGTTCATGCACTATTTATAATTTTATTTAAAAATTATATAAAAGTATGAGAAGGTATACATATAAGTAAATATAAGTTTATTGAATCACATATAAGTAAATATATGATTATGATTAACAATAATATTAATATATAATTATGATATAACATAATTAATTTTGATGCAAAAATTATTATAATTCATTTTTTTAAAATCAAAATCATATATAAATTATAGATTAAAAGATATATATAGAATTTATTATATACAACATGTTTGTTTTAACCTTAATCCTAAAATTTTAATCGTAAATAAGATCCATGACACTACAATAAATAAATTTGTGTAAATTAAAATTTACACAGACTGTACATTAGATAACTTTCAATTAATTAATAAATTAAAATTTTATAATAGCAAATTTGAAAAATACAATCTAAGGTACAATAACTTCTTTTAATAATATTAAATGTAAAAAATATAATATTTAACAATGGGTTATTTAGCATATTATCCTTTAGATTTTAGAGAATTAAAATGTAGATCTAAGTAAAGAAAGTTGGTCGGCCCATTTCAATTCAACCCATTCTCAGCCAACATTCATTTCACTTCCGTACGCTATTTATTGTTTTTTATTTATTTATTTGTATTATAAAATGAAACACTTCCCCTCCCAGAGTAGAAATTTTTCCATTAGCCATTTACTGACTGTGTCAGTAACCTCAGTCCCAAAGCAAAAGAAATGGTGGAAACTGAATCCAACGCCGCTCAAGTATCGGCCGTCACCGCCGAAGCGACGGAGCCCGAAAAGACCCTGTCTCAAGACCAAGTCGACAACACCGCCGCCAAACTCAATAACCTTACGCTCCGAATTTGGCCCCCCACTCAACAGACGCGCAATGTCGTTATCAACCGTCTGGTCGAGACGCTGTCTTCCGCATCTGTACTTTCCAAGCGCTACGTCATGATCCCGGAGGACGAAGCCTCATCCATCGCCAAGACGATCGAGGAGGAGGCTTTCTCACTCGCCGGAGGAGCGTTCTTCCCCGACGATAACGGCATCGAGATCCTTCAGATGTATTCCAAGGAGATCAGCAAGCGTATGCTCGACACTGTCAGATCTCGAGGTGCCGCCGCCGCCGCCGCCGCAGCCTCGGATGCTCCGTCAGGTACGGAAACTCCGAGTGGTTAGGAGATTTCATCGTCAAGGCAGAGGGTTGAGTTTGAGGATCTTTGTTTCTCTCTTTCTCTCTCTCTAGGGTTCCTTTTTGGATATACACCTGGAATTGCTAGGGTTTGTTGAGATCTCTTTGCTTGGCTGTGGATAATTCGAGATGCTCAATTGCAAATAAGACGATAATGGCATCTTTAACTGTAATATTTGTTTTCGAGGGTTTTCTGTAATCTTTCTGAAAATGTGCTTTGATCTTTATGAGTTTCTTGTTTTTTCTTTCTCACCATTGCTACAATGCAAAAGCAGCTTAAAGGTTGCTAGAAATTTTCTTGAGTGATGATTGTTTCTCAACAATTCAACAGCATTCTGTTGTACCTTAATGTACTTAGTGTTCTTTCACGAACTCTCTCAACAAACTAAGTTATTAGCTTCACATGAATTAGGCAATGCTGTATATAATTTTTATCTCCTGAAAGCTGAACAATGGAAACCGGAGCAATCAAGCTGAAACTTGAGTCTTGTAAGAGTTGATGTGTAGAAAGAGCTGTTTTCACTAGACGTTTCTGTATTTTATCTAGATCTTGATATGATATATGGTGTTAAATCTTTTTATCTCTTCAGCTTGCTTTTATTGTAATCCTTTTTAAAGAAAGTAATTCTTGATTCAAATATTCAACGTGTTGGGAGAGATTCTTAGGTTTAACATAATGAGATTTCTGCTGTGAATTAGAATCTAGCATGTCAGGGATAAGTGCTACTATGGAACAATTAATTATGTGTAGGTTTCATTGAAACTGCATTCTGTTGAACTTATATGTATAGTTGTCTTGGTCATCTAAGTAAACAATTTATATGAACTGAATGTAGACACATGCTCATATGACCTGTAACCATGTGCTCGTGTCAAAATAGCATAATGCTTTTAGCAAAACTTTTAATGTTTTCGGATCTCAAGCTGTTTTCATGTTCCGTAATTCCTTAACATATGTTTACAGCTTACATTATGTTTTCTTGAGTGACCTGAATGTCATTTTAATTTTCTGAATGCTGAATCTCTTTTCTTACTGCATTTCAGTGTTGAGTTGCATCTTAATCTGTTTCATATGGTTGCTACCAGTTATCATCTTGGATGAATCCGATACCTGCAGTTAACGTCTTGGTTGAAGGATATTATGTTACTTTGTTGATGCCATAAAGCCCCAATTTCTGTCTTTGAATTCTATGGTTTAGGTGGATGGTATCCCAATTTGTTAATATGTGGATGGTATTCTTTCAGTTCTTTTATTCTCATTTCCATTTGCATAAATGAAAGTTCTGTTACCTTTCAAGTTTCAACCATGAAAGTCCCAACTTTCTACATCACTGTGTTTATTTCTTGATCTTCAACAATATAGGAACGGATGAGTTTGAGATTGGGCATTTATTGTCAATTTTTATTAGATCCAAATAAAAATAATCATGGACCAATAAACATAAATATTTAATTGTTGAATATCAAAGCCTTTTTCACCAATTATCCCAAAATTTAAGTTTATGCGTAATGAAACATATAAAAACTTCTAGCTTTTGCTTTGATCAATGAAATAATCGGACTATTTAGATAACTTTCAATTAATCACAATTATTGTATCGATGAAATGAAATTAGTTGAATAATTATGTTTATTTAGGGACCATTGAAAATCTCGCTTCAACTTTATAATCTTTCATGCCTCAAAGAAACTTTTTTAAACCTTACTAAAATTTCTTGAAAATAGGAGAGATGAAGATGACGATAAGAAAAACTGACATCGTATTATCTTTTTTTCATCTAATATATCCACTTTCTGTAATAAAGATTAAAACCCAATTATGTCCCACTTACAAATATAGTAAATGCATATATAAAATCTATTCAATTTTATTATAAAATTAAGGATACCTTTATGAATAATGGAAAAAATTTATTAAATTAATGTATATTATAACTCTGAAATGACCATCCAGCTCAGTTGGTAGAGCACATGGTTCTTAACCTTGAGGTCGTGGGATCGAGTCCCACGGAGGGTATTTCATAATTCGGAGGTCTCTTACGGAAGCTGCTCTCAACCTGGTGTTGGGGGGGTAGCCTACTATCTTACCTCCTCCTTACCCCATACATATGGGAAAAAGGGACAACCATTATATATTATAACTCTGCAATACACATTATGTATGCATATTACATTTATGCCAACGGATTTTGGTATAAGTGGTTAAGATTCAAGAATTTGAGTATATATATATATATATTACATTTATGCAATTTCTTGTGGCATGCTTGCTTATGCCTTTATAGGAATTAAACATACTTAAACGAGTTGGTGGCTTAATTTTGGTGCAGTGTACTTTAGTATGCTTTATGTCTAGTGTTGATCATATTCTCAGCACCAACCACATTGATGTTTGTGCTGCTACGTTGTGTTGATCATATTGTTTAGCGTTTATGTCTAGAGTTGACGTTGTCAACGATAAAAAATAAATAAAAATAAAGGGGCGAAGGGCGCACCACAAATAGAGAAAATTAGGTTTTCAGAGAGGTTAAAGGAAGCTGTTGTTGAGTGTGGGGAAAGGTTAATTTCCAAATGTATGGTATATTTGCATGTCAAATCCTGGCTACGATATATTAGAGAATTAATTATGACAAATTTTATTTAAATTTTAAATTATTGTAATCAATTATAATATTCTTGTGATTAGTTGTAATTCCCTAACTCTAGGCTAGTCTCCTATTTATGTGCCTTGTAATTAGTTGTAATCCTAACTCTAGGCTAGTTTCCTATTTTTTTATGCCCCATCTTGTGTATATATATCCACTCTTAATCAATGGAAAACTTAAGCCAATGTTTCTCAATACTATTCTCTCTATTTCAACATGGTATCAGAGCCTAATCTTCCAGAGCATATTTTCCTCTCTTTTTTTCCCTTAACAAAAACCACGATCCTTCATATACATATATCTAAAACTACGCCACTAGTCCCTTCAATGGCTTCCCATACGACTTCCTCTCGCACTTTTACTTTACAAAATATTCTTTGTATCCCTTCCATGAAAAAGAACTTAATTTCTATTTATCAATTTTGCACTCATAACCATGTTTCTGTTGAATTCTCACCCTCTGCTTTTTGTGTGAAGGATCTAAACATGGGGACAATCCTTTTGATGGGTGAACCTAAGAATGGCGTATATGTGTGGCCGACTACATCCCCTTCAGTTTTCTCTCCACCATTACTTGCATTTTCCAGTGTCAAGACCACTTTGTCCGAGTGGCACTTTAGACTAGGTCATCCATCATTTACTATTATAAAAAATATTGTTTCCAAATTTCCTTTACCATTGTCTAGTCCGTTATCATCCTTCACACATTGCAATGCCTGTTCATGCAATAAAAGTCATAAAATTCCATTTTCTTCTTCTACCTTAACCTCATCTCACCCGCTTGAACTTATCTTTTCTGATGTTTGGAGCTCTCCTGTTTATTCTGTTGATGGTTTTCAATACTATGTTATTTTTGTAGATCATTATACACGATATATTTGATATTATCCCCTTAAATGAAAATCTCATGTGTATGATGTCTTTGTACGTTTCAAGGCATTAGCCGAAAACCAATTTAAACATCGAATTGTTACCTTCTATTCAGATAATGGTGGTGAATATCAAGCCCTTGATCTTTTATTCTCCACCAATGGTATATCACATTTTACTACACCACCCAATACACCAGAACATAATGGTTTTTCTGAACGACGTCATCGACATATTGTTGAAACTGGTTTATCTCTCCTCACTCATGCATCAATGCCTTTAACTTATTGGACTTACGCTTTTGCCACTGTTGTATATCTCATCAACTGTATGCCCACACCCATATTACATCTTTCATCTCCTTTTGAGAAACTCTTTGAGTCTCAACCCAACTACACTAAACTTCGGGTGTTTGGTTGCTTATGTTATTTGTGGCTTCGTCCTTATTCTCAGCATAAACTTGACTCTCGTTCCACTCCTTGCGTCTTTCTTGGTTACTCTTCAACACAAAATGCATATATTTGGCTCGCTCTATCCACTTCTAAAATATACATTTCTCGTCATGTCAAATTTCTTGAAAACTCCTTTCCCTTTAGCACTCACCAAATCCATCTATCACGTCCCACCCCAGAGATCATTTCCAAATGGCTTCCCCCGATCCAAATTTTACCAATTTCAAGTGGCTCACTCAATACGCCTCCACAAAGGGATTCCTCATGTCAACATATGTCACAAAATACCCAAACATACCACTGTCTTTCCTCATTAGTTGACTGTCGATCACTGTCAATAGACCTCCCTTTACCCGAACACAACTCGTTTAATCGCCAAGAAACCATCGTCGATCATTTACCACTAGAACCACACAATTTTGAGACCTCTTCTGCTTCAATCATAACGCAACCCACCCATCAAAATACCCATCCCATGATCACTAGATCAAAAAACAACATCCACAAACCCCTAACCAAAATGAACCTCACTGCTATCATTTCTCAACCATCAGACATTGAGCCTCATACTGTTTCTCAAGCCCTAAAAGATCCTAAATGGAGACAAGCTATGAATGATGAGTTTGATGCTCTTGTTCAGAATGGAACTTGGGAGCTTGTTCCATCTACTTCTCTGCAGAATATTGTTGGATGTAAGTGGGTTTTTCGTATTAAACGACTTCCTAATGGTTCTATTGACAGGTACAAAGCTAGACTAGTTGCCAAAGGCTTTCATCAGCGACCTAGAGTGGAATATCATGACACTTTTAGTCCGGTTGTCAAGCTGACAACAATACGACTTGTTCTAAGCCTGGCACTCAGTAGAGGTTGGTAATTGCGACAATTGGTTGTTAATAATGCCTTTCTTCAGGGCCATCTTTCCGAAGATGTCTATATGGCTCAGCCTCCAGGATTTGTTGATAAAGATAATCCAACACATGTATGCAAACTAAAAAAAACTATATATGGACTCAAGCAAGTCCCACGGGCTTGGTACCTTGAACTTCGCCAATTCCTCATTGAGTCTGGGTTCACAAACTCTCATGCAGACACTTCCCTATTCATTCTTCACTCAGGTGACACTACTATATATCTACTTGTTTATGTGGATGACATTATTATCACATGCACCAACACCAATATTATTCAACGCTACATTGACCTCATGACACAAAGATTTTCAATCAAGGATCTTAGCACCTTGTCTTATTTTCTCGGCATTGAGGTTCTAACCACTCCATCCGGTCTGCTACTTACTCAAAGGCGCTACATCATTGATCTTCTTTCCCGGACAAAAATGATTGGTGCAAAACCTGTTGCTACACCACTTGTTACAGATGGAAATCTCACACTTCATTCAGGTACAGCTCTAACTGACTACACAGAATATAGAACAATTGTTGGCAGTCTACAGTATCTTTGCCTCACTCGCCCAGACATAGCATATGCTGTTAACAAGCTTTCTCAATTCATGTATCACTCGACATCTGAACATTGGAATGCTGCAAAACGACTGCTTTGATATCTATGTGGCACATTAACTCATGGATTATTCCTTCACAAGGCAAATC